CGGCGCCCGACAACTGGCAGTTGAGGCACAGAGAAATATAAAGGTCGGAGAGAATCAGTTGACAGACATTGAGAGACAACTGCAAGAATTGGCACAAAACGGTTCCGCCGACGCTCGCAAACTGTTGGCCGATCTGTCAGATAAGGCCCGACTCACCGCACAAACCATTGTCGACGACTTGAAAGCCGGTAAACAACTGTTGGGAAAGAACTTGAAGGCCATTGAGGATCAGCTGAAGACAGTTTCCGGTGATGTCAGGACTCAATTAGAGGCCGCAAAGACTCAGATCGAGAATGAGATTTACAATTTGGACGATCAGATCCAAAATATTGCCAAACATTTGAACAACAAATTGAAAGCCAGTCTCGAAAGCGCTGAACAAACAGTTGAGAAGAGATTGTCTGAATTGGAGGACAAGCTTAAGACAGCGACCGATGAGACGGCTCTTCAACTCCAAGACCTTAAGACACAACTCAACACTCAATTGGCAGACATCCAGAAGAAGGTTAAGGATCTGCTCAACACTGATGTCAACGTCACCGTTGGAACCAATGGTAGTGACCCTATAGTTGACGTCAGTATCGATGAAAATGGTCTCACGTTTTAAATCCAATTTAATCGACAAATCAAACGCTAATATAATCTCAAAATTAATGATTTATTTTAATTGAATTAATTTTTTCCTATATTAATAATACATAACTGAATTCAAACATGTATTCAATCTTTATTTTAAACTAATAAATGAATTATGGAATCTATAATTTATCACGTTTATTATTAAATTTAACTAGTCCATTTAATTATTATATATTTATTTTACATCGGATTTATAGTTTGTAATATTTGAACCTCATGATTTATATTTTCTAAATTGTTTCTATAATAATATTAAATAATTATATTTTAATAAATATCTAACAAATAAATTGGATAAATAATTAAAATTTTTAAAATAATGCATGTACTAAACTGTCCAATGTATGGCACTAGAGTTGCAACGTTTTCAAATTTCACTTCCCATCCGTTTTCAATTGAGCTCTGCTCGCAATTGAGTGAAAAGCCTTCATTCTTTCCAATGGATCACATTTATTAATTGCATATTTACTATAACTTATACCATATCCAAAATTAATGTTTAATTAATAATTCAATGTTATTTTATAAATTAATCAGTAATTTATGAATTTTTATTTATTTTATTCGTACAATAATATCAATAAAATTTATATCGATTTGATTTCAATTCAATTATCAATTCATTTGTAAGAATAGTTAAAATTAACATTTTATGTTAAAACAAACCAAAAATATTTAATGATTTATGCCTTTAATTATTAAATTACTGGCGATTACTGACAATCACTTTAACTTAAATTATTATTAAATTATTAAATTAATAATGGATTGTAATACAAAAAATACACGATAATCATCTGATAATTAAAAGTAATTATCAAAAAACAGGGAGAAAAACACACGTAAATGATTTGCTTTTCAAAAATTAAATAATTGTTTATAAAAAACTAAAAAACTCACAAAAATAAACACTGATTACAAAATAATAATTAATTTAAATAATTAATTCGCAAAATTATAAACCACTGGAGAGAGTAGTTATGGAGTGGTTATGAGATAAATGGGAGACAAACACAACATAAAATGATAATATAATTAAATATAATTATAATATTAATAATAATTAGCGAAAATGATAGTAAAGGTAAGAATCGGTAATTAAATTAAATTAAATTATTATACGATCGATGTATTAGTCGGTTGCATATCTGTTGTAATGATTGACAAATTATAAATTAAAACAAAATTGTGATTAAAATAAAATTAAGTGTCTGATTAATATAGGATTGTTATAAATCATTGGACAAACAATACAAAGTAATGATAGAAACACAACAAATATGTAATGAAATTCAAAATGTTGAGTGTTTTGCAAATTAACAATTAAAATGTTTGGTTTGATTGTGGGCTAAAAATTAGAGGCCTTTAAACACATATGTGTGGAGCAAATGAGTTTCAATGAGTGTGTGGTGTATAGAGAGTAACGGTGGGCTCGGGTGGGGGTGAGGGAGGCGGCGATCATGATCTAATCGAGTATGGGTTCGTTGGGGTGAACAGTCTTGAGATGTTTGTTGAGTGATATGCGCCACGTATACACTTTGCCGCAGTAGTCGCACACGTATTGGGTTTTGGCATTGAGGTGCACACCATTGATGTGGTCCTGCATTGATTGGTGGCCGTGATATACCTGCGGACAATACGGGCACTGGTATAGCCCACTGCTCGACTGCTGTTGTGCGCCGCCCGCGGGACTCATCACGTACTCCTGGGACGCCCGTTGCTTACGGCCGCTACGGGTATCCGGCGTGCCGTCCAAATCGCTGTTCACTAATCGCATTAAATGGACAGAAAAAACAACAAAAAACAATTGAAAGTTAATAAAATTATTTATTATTAAATAATTGCTAATTGAGTCATTCACTCAATGGATCCGTACTTTCGGCCTCTTTAGCCCAGTTGGGCGTACGTCCGGGTCCTTTGCGGCGAACAGTGTTGACCACTTCTGTGCCAATGGTATGGCCGTCGCTGTGGTGTCCGTTCTGCGAGCCGTGACTGGATGTCGAGCGTCGCAGCGCTCGTGTGTTAATAGCGGCCGCAGTGGTCGCGGGACTGGCCGTCACTGTAGACGAACTGGTGGTTGTGGTGGCGGTAGTCATCTTATGGTAGGCCAGTGTTGAGGCCACGATCGCCGCCGATTGCGGATTCACCTTAAGGTCGTTCATTTGGTCCTTACCAGCGCTCGAGTGGTGCTTAAAATGTTGGGTTTCTAACGGCTGACTGAAGTCTATCTCATAGACCTCTCCGTCGTCCTCCTCCTCGTCCACGTCGTGCCGGTCGGCGGCGCCCGTAATCAGGGGCTTAAGTCCAGAGGACTCGTCCACTTCCATATCAGACACATCACTCTTATTCACTTTGATGACCGACTCGTGTCCGCCGGCGTCGTTAGCCGAGCCGTCTGTTCCCAATTTGATGCGCTTTCGCAACTGTCGGCCTTCACTGCCGGGCGATTCGGGAATCTTCGTGTCCTCGCGTTTCGGCGACACAATCTGTTGCCGCACAATATGGCCGCCAGTGATCACCAGCCGGTGCGGCAGTTGTGACTGCTGTATGGGCTGGTGCTCCACCCGCAGGCCAGGGCTCCGGTGTGTAGTGATAGTGATTCCCGTGCCGTTGGTCTCGATGTGGTTCGTATTGTCCGAGAATTCAATCACATTATTATAACTATTATTATTGTTCACAACTTTATTATTCACTAATTGATTGCTATTAACACTATTAGTGTTTCCATTATTGAGGCACTGATTGAAGAGATAAACAAAAAATTATAAAATAAAAATATAACTAAATATGACTGATTTTATGAATTAATTTTAAGACAGATTTCATTGAATTTAAAAAAAGAAATTTATTGTCAACTAATTTAAAACTACATTAAGAAAAACAGACAGTATTTATATATTAGACATCTTTAGGAGGGGTGAGGAGGTGTAAGGGCGGGCACACAGGTGTGAGAATAATGTATAAGAAAGTGGACCCATGAAAGGAGATGGGGTGTAGAGTATGTGTATGGGGTGTGTGTTAATGGCAAACCTTATTAGACAACTCTTTGGCGCGAGTCTTCTCGTAGACCTCCCTCTCGATGGAGAACTTCATTCTCATGGCTTCGAAACGCTGTTTCTCTTCGTTGAGAACACTCTTCTCGAGCTCCAACTTCTTCTTCATCTCAGTCTCGATCTCACGCCTGAGCCGCTCTTTACGGCTCCTCTCGTGCTCCCGAAGGGTCCGTATCTCGTGCTCCAGAGATCGCTTCTCGGACCGCAAGCGTTGCACGTGTTGGTCATCGGCGGACGACGAGTCGCCACCCGCCGCGCCGTTCCCGCCTTCATCCGATCCCTGGTTATCATTGGACACTAGCTTTATATTCATTAAGCCCTTAACCATTAGGGTCTGGGCGGCGGCCAAGAACTTGTGTATACGGGACTGGCCTACGGATACCTGTGTCCCAGAGTCAGAGCACAGGTATTGAAAGTACAAATTTATAATTTGTTAATTGTATATATAAGTATAATTAATGGTTATTTAATGGTAGAAATAAATTACTAAAACCTATTTATAATAATAGCATATTATAAGTCAATAAATTATTCATTACATGCATAGAAAAGTAATTATAATTTACAGTATAATATCGCTCTTATTGTGTACACTCGATAAGAGGTACAGGTTTTGACAAACTGTACACTATTGACCATAAATGAGATGAATGTCATTTTAAGTGAATTCGATTGACATAGATATTAAATTTAAGTATTTGTACACAATATACAAGTGTTCACTATATGCTATGCTGTACTGTATTAAAGCTATTAAAACAAATAACAAAAAATCAATTTCCTAAATGAATATAAAAAATAAAAACATAATTTTAAAGCACAGAAACAAAATCTAAAATCAATAATAAATAGTTTCGAAATAAAAGCAAAAAAAGCAAAACTAATATTTAAAGATTATTAAAGATTATGATTAGAAGGCAGACGGGCTGTAGCGGCCATATAGGGCCGCACCGGTAGTTCCCTAATCTTTATAATAGTCTACTGTAGGGTATATCGCACTATACCTGTCCCTTATAGATGAAGTCGACAATACTCTTGAGGTCATCGAAGTCCACATTCGTCACCACAACGGCGACGACACCCAACGGCTGAGCGGTCAGAGTGGAGAAAATGGCCCGAAAATAGTCCGACGACGCCGACAGTATCACCCGATGGGTGTGCAGTGTATGGCCACTCACGCCGACGCCGTTCTTGGGGTCCGTCAACGACAGGGCGGGCGAAGGCGAGTGATCCCTGTGGTGGCCATTGGTCAGGCCGTGAGAGGCGCTGTCGGCACCGGCGCTGTCGCCGGCGTTGTCGTCCTTATTGAGGGGTGAATGGCATACGAGTAGACAGTCTGTGAGTTGTGTGTTCCGTCAACGACAGGGCGGGCGAAGGCGAGTGATCCCTGTGGTGGCCATTGGTCAGGCCGTGAGAGGCGCTGTCGGCGGCGGAGGCGGCACCGGCGCTGTCGCCGGCGTTGTCGTCCTTATTGAGGGGTGAATGGCATACGAGTAGACAGTCAGTGAGTTGTGTGGTGTCCAACATGGAGGCGAAGCTGTCACGCATTGTCACCTCGTGGTCGCCCATACGAAACGTGTAGCCATTCTCTTGGGCGGGCGCGGCGTCCGAGTGGTGGCCACCGGTGGGGGCGGTGGAGGCGCCGGTGCCCGACGTGTGGTGCGGCGCCGGCGACGACTGGTTCGCTGCCATCGATGACATCGTCGTGTGGACCAGTGGTCGGCCAGCGGTCAGTGGTGTCGACGAGTGATGCGGTGTTTGGCGGCGATAATGACTCGCAATACAGTTGTTATGATTTGAGGCAATAATAAAGTGGTTGTCTTTGTTATGGCTTTTGTAATGTGTTTTGCGAACACAGTTTGTGTTGTGTTGTGCCTGTGTTTCACTGTTTGTATTATACGCTCACTGTTTAACGAACTCTACTGTACTGTAGGTCGAGGCGAGTCTATGCGCCGTCAATACAGTGACGCACAGTATTCAACGCGCATAAACACTGCCAGAATATGTCTGCCCATACAGTCAAGCACAGCGATAGTGACGCCGACCATAATTGTGTTATGCTCATTAATTGAGCTTGCAATTAGTTTTAACATGGTTATTGTACTTGTTATAAATTGCTATGATAGATATTTGAATTAATTTTTTAATTTACACCGCGCTTTATGCTATAAAATGGTTGTTGAAGTTTGAGTACCAGGTTTGATTGTATGTAATAAAACATACAATACGTTGATTTTAACAATTTTGTGCGCGTATTACAGTATAACATCGATTTTATGAACAAATATACCCCATGAACTAACTTCATACTAACTATACATTTCAAATAAATTATTCCAATCGATATAACTTTGGAGCGCTAGAGAGGAGATTTATGAACATCGACCATGTTTAATAATTTATTAATTTTATATATTTACAAGCCCTATACGATTATATAGCAAGCAAATTTAATATGCACACTAATTGATTAATTTAACCAAGTAATAAAATGGTGGAAATCCGGTTAGTGCTGGATAGGTGGGTGATTGTGTTGCTAGTGCTCACGTGATAGGGCCAGGGGTTTAACTATGGCGTATGTGAACTGTGCGGTTGCTGTGAGAAACCAATTAAAATCATGTTTGATTTATTATTAGATTTTACCAGCATACTGTTTTTGTGCTTACGTTGCCGTTCTTGCTAAACAATTATTATAATCTCTCTCTCTCTCTCTCTCTCTCTCTCTCTCTCTCTCTCTCTCTCTTAATAAAGAATATTAATATAGCATTCATTTTGTTATAGATTTATCTCAACAAAGAGATTATTATATAACAATATAACAATGAAATAACATTTATATTTAATGTCTATATGTGTTGGATATTATGATTTGAGTAATTTTTGTGTATAAAAATATATATTCATATATTCTTTATTTNCTCTCTCTCTCTCTCTCTCTCTCTCTCTCTCTCTTGAAAATATTTACTTATGCTAAAATTTGATGAAATCATCATGAAATCCATTAGGAAAATTACATTATGCTTATATAATTTATTAAATTAAATTATATCTAATGTTTGGTAAATACAATATTTGAATTTACAGCATAAACATTATAATAAAATTTTATAGATTTATTATAATAATATTTTCAATTTTATATGAGCATAAAGTAATAACAATTACACATCATTTTGGGGTGTATTGGCCTTAAAATTGATCAAAACTATCGATCTTTTAATTGTTAATTTTTAATATAATTTTTAATATATCTTTATGTTAACTTAATGTCCACATTTAATATATAGTCGTTAAAAGTCTACAAAAGCTGAATAATTATGAAATTAATTAAACGATATAAATTTTGCAATATATGCATTAATTTATATTTTTAAATTTATTGTAATGTAATACGAGTGCAAATATTATACAATATAATATGATAAATTTATGTCAAATACCATATGCACCTACTATTTAGGCAATTAGTCTATCGATTATGTGACAAATTATTTGTGTTTTAAAAAGATAATTAATTTTATTTTTCTTGTTGTTTATAATTCGCTAACAAATAGGCATTAAATATATCAACGTTTTAAAAATTATAATTTATGGTTTTATAACATTTCTATGTCAATGTAATTATAAAACCAATCGATATGTAGTTTTTTGTTGATATTATTACTATTGTATACAACATTATAGGCAACAAATAAAATATTAATATAAATAACATTAAAAATATAGTCAAATGATTTCAATTTTATGTTTTGTTTTTCTTATATTTTATTTTTCATTTAATTATGTTTTTGTTTTAGTATTTATTTTATAATAAATTAACATTTTAATCGATAGACACATTAGTAATGTGACATTACATGTATAAAATAAATTAATGCCTTAATTTAGAAATTATTTTTAGCGTACATTAAATCAATATTTTTATTATACATTACAGGAATATAGCTAACAAAATAGAGTTTAGAACAAATTATAAATTAAATATTAATAAAATATCCAATCATTAAATATTTAAAGTTTACAAATAAATTTAATTAAATATAATTTAATTATAAATTAATTTAGTTACATATAAATGAATTATATATAATTTAATGACAACTAATTTAATTACATATAATTTAATTACACACTAATGATAATTATAATAATATATTGATAAATTTAAAACAATTAATAAGAAAAAGGGCTGGGAAAAACCTAAAATTAATAACCAGGCAGACCAACTGATTCTGGTTTAAATTCATCGAGACAATTAACAATGTGGGTAATTTTAGGAGCGATTTGGGTGAAATCACCATGTTTTCGCTCATTAACCAATAGGGTTTTCATACCGGAAGCCACGGCACCAATTATACCACCCAATGAATCCTCAATTACCAGTACATTATCAGCCAATTCGGGCGCTTTTAAAAACCGATTTTTACATACGATATACACTTCCGGATCCGGTTTTGTGTGACTGATTTCCGGGTCGGTGGAGGCGCACACGTAGTGCTGGAAATACTTACCGAAATAATTATTGTCAAACATTTGAAACACAGAGTCCACAAATATTTTGGGCGAATTGGTCGCTATGGCCATCGGTATGTTGTGTTGGTATAGGTGTCGGACTAGTCTGTCCGCACCGGGCATTAGTGACCACTTCCTGCTCAATAGCTGACCAATTAATTGTTTAGACAGAGCGTTGCGGTCCATATCAGGACTCAAATTCAATGCTTCTAAAAAGTTGTGAAATAATTTGGTTCGATCGCCACTCATTATTTTATCTGGGTAAAAAATTTATTTATTTAATTTTGTAATTTTTACCATTTTTGTATTAATATTTATTGTGCTGTAAAAATTTAATGGGGTTATAATAATATAGATTCAATGATTATTTAATAAAATGTTGCCTAAATTGATAAGCTAATTAATTATTTTGAACTTATAACCGGTTTTGTAACTATTTTATAACTTGCTCTGTTCTAGATGTAATAATATTATATTGTAGAAAAATGTACAATATAATAAGTACATTTAATCGTACATTTAGTGTAAAATTATAAATATCCAAACTAGCACAGTATATATTAAACAATTTTAACATTGGTTAATTAATAACAAATTATTACAAGTTCTATTAAA